ATATTTGATTATGCATGTTATGTATATTTATAATACATATATTATACTGATCAAATATATACACATAGACGCCCAATTTTTACATGTATATGTATATATATATATATATATATATATATATATATATATATATATATATATATATATATATATATATATATATCTATCTATCTATCTATCTATCTATCTATCTATCTATCTATCTATCTATCTATCTATCTATCTATCTATCTATCTATCTATCTATCTATCTATCTATCTATATCTATATCTTATCTATATCTATATCTATATCTATATCTATATCTATATAGTGGGTGTCTACATGGGTATAGCTAGCATACGATGTTAAGTGGAGGACCTATGCTAATGGTCCGGGCGCTTGCCACCAGCGGGGCGGGTTTACACAGTCGCCGATCGGATGAGGCCGTCTAGTGTATAGAGCACGCGTAAGAGCATGGCATTGTCAGGTCCCACTAAAATCGTCCAAAATGACCCGAAAACACCGGACGTGACTTTTTTGCTCGCTATTCCGATAGACTCCTAGGTGTAAACTAAGAGCATTCTGCGTGAATATCATGTAGCCTTTGCTCATATTAGTAATCTATTCGGCCGTGCGGCTTCGTTTCAACTGCTGTAAATGGTACAAGCAAAGCTTTTCAAAGAAAAGGTCAAGTGTTGTATTGATACTACCAGGCGACCCTGTGTATTTAGAGCATTGCAACTGGCTGAAAAATCACATGAGTGGCATATGCATTAAATTCCAGCCCGTGCGTCGCCAGGTTTGGCAGCATGACAGTGACACATCCATGTGACAGTGGCACACCAGCATGACAGTGACACACTCACATGACAGCGACTCACCCGCATGACAGTGACACACTCACATGACAGTGACACCCACCCGACAGTGACACACCAGCATGACAGTGACACACCAGCAGGACTGACAGACCCGCAGTGACACACCCACATGACAGTGACACACCCGCAGGACAGTAACACACCAGCATGAAAGTGACATACCGCCATGACAGTGACACATCCACATGCATGATAAAAATAAAAAAACGTGTTCAGGGCGGGATTGGATCGGTTGGCTTGGTGAACACCCTAGAGACGACAAAAGCCAACAAGGAGCAATGCTATCGGTGAGCGCTCCAGAAATTTACAACCAGGGACGGCGTTTACCTCAAAGTACGAAGTCTACCCAAATTTTTGCCCAACAAAAATCATCTCTATATGTCATGACATATTCTTGACCACCCATCACAAATGTCCTTGCATAGCCACGCGGAAGACTTGACCTGAAGTCTGACTGCATAGATGCACTGACGCATAACACTTCGTAGTTTGTATCATGCCATGTGTGGAAGTAATTTGTGTTGTGTCTGGAAAGCTTATGGTCTATAATGGTGCAAAATATTACATCTGTGTATGTTTTATATCCTGTTTTACATACTTGCAACAGATCTTTTAATTGATCGCATACTGTTAAACGAAGTCAGCTGATAGTTTTAATACGGCACGTAGCCGTTTTTTAAACGTTTTACTTGTGGTTCAATAGCAGTCGTCACGAAGCTCCACGGCGAATGTGTCGACTCGTTCAATCGGTTTTATCCTAGGAAGAAAACAATATCTGACATAAAAGTCACTTGTATAGACCGACTAACTCTATTGAGCTCTATGGGGCGTAAAGGATCTTGTTAATTTGAATCAAAGGGGCATTCTGTGCATTTAGACGCACTGCACGGTACGTTCCGCAAAATTACTTATCAACGAAATAGTTCAGCATTCTATAGATGTCACGCCATATGCATGCAAAATCATTCGATTATGCAAAACCTGGTCGGTCGCTGTTAAGAATTGGCTCAGTGCTTACGCACAAATTGCGAATTCAACAGGTCACGTTCGGCTAACGACTTTTAAAGAGATGCTTACGTCCAGTAAACACTTCGAAGAGAGGCGGCTGTGAAGGGAAAAGTCATGGAATGTAAACGCTCACGGTTCGCGTGGCATGTCGTCTATAGCCGGAAGGAGGCGCGCGTTACCTGAGATTGTCCTTGATGCGCCCCGGCTCGACGAGGTCGTGCAGCCACCGTGTGGCGTTCTCCAGCTGCTGCGTCCTGTCACTGTCACTGGTGCCCTTCGGCCACAGGCCTTGCCCGGCGGGGCACGTGGTGTCCACCTCACCCCCCAGTGCAGCCGACAGAATCTGTCATGAAGTAAACCCGACGGCATGCAAAACACAAATGGATACAGCATCGCGGGGCTGTTAAAATGCGGTTGCACGTAAAGCAAAGGACGAAACGTACAGCTCTTCAGCTGCATGCAGCATGCGGGCACTCTCACTGAGGAAACTTAATTTTGTGAGCGTGTTTGGAAGCATGCGCTGCATGCATAGACAGAACCACCCTTTAAATGTGACTCGGGATCATTTCTTTTGTGTGCCATTTTACATCGCCAAAACACACGAACAGCCAAATATGTTTAAACGTTACTGGGATCCCGGCCGTACCGACCCCAGTGAGAGGTGCGCTCATGGCTGCATGCCGAGTAGTTAACACAACAAATGGACGTTCTAAAACATATGCGGGATATGCGGGACTCATCTCAAACGTCAGCAGTTATCTCGGGGAAATCCAGAACAGCGCAGACCACCACGTCACGGGATCGCACGGCGTCGCTGCACAGACCTGCAGGAGGACCGCCGCGATGGCGACGGCGGCCGTGGTGAGCAGCGGAGTGGTCAGCCGCCTGAGGACCGGGTGGGCCATGACACACGCTCGGTCGCCGGCCCGCCCCGGTCCAGTCGGCATCGCGACCTGCCGCCCGGCCCGCCCGGCGCCCTCTATATAGCCACGCCGGTGCGCCTCCACTGGCGGCTCGCTGCATCCACTGGCGAGGCTCCCCTGGAGTGCAGCTCCCTTTTAGTTGGAGGGGCTCCAGTACCCAACTTTGGGAGGAAATGTGTCAAATGGGGGGGGGGGGGCTTAGCTATTTTTCATGGCTCAACCTCCGAGCTTATTTTTGTTCAAAACTATACCCATGGGGCCCCTGGATACCCTTAACCACTGTCTTTGCGCCCTCCACCACCGCCTGAGCGTCCTCTGCCGCCATCTAAACGTCCTCTGTCGCCGCCTAAGGTCCCTCCAGCTGCCGTGTAAGTTCCCTCCACTCCCCGACTGGGCACCCCAGATACGCCGTCTATCAAAATCAGTGGTGGCAGAAATGTCTCAGTTAACACGCGCTCGGGTGGGGGGTCAAATTGACCCCCTCCCCCCAGAGGGTTTTTCCGGAATGGTTTCCGAACGGTGCGACATACCCACACCAAATATTGCACAACTGTAGACATTTGAGTAGCGGATCGTGTAGTATCAAACATTTAGATGTACCTTGTAAGGTTGCTGACCTACAGCAGGTCAAAGTCAGACCAGTGATTCAGCGGTTAATTTCTAGGGAATCGTTCAATCTGATGCAACAACAGAGTGCTACACCAAGCCATACACGTCTAATATACTTTGTTAGGCAACACAATTGAATGACCAAATTGCATTGACCTAGGGTCAGGTATAAAGGTCTGACCAAGGTGAAAACCAACCTATTTTACTACTCTAGAGCTTGCTGCAAGCGGTAGTTTCTGGTGCTTATTTTGAATTTATTGATAACAGGAATCGCATGAGACATCTTCCTTGGATTTCTTGAAGGTCAGAATAGGTCACTGACCTAAAGAAGCCCTGGTCAAGATTTCGTTTTTAGGTACACACCGCCTAGCGTAATCTTTGCTGCTTGTTAAAATGCAAAACTCAAAAGTCTTCTGTGATTTTGGTCACCATGACCTCCGAAAGATCAAACAAGGTCACTGACCTTAGATTGACATTCTATTTTTGCTTAGATCAGGTATCTAAGTTCTGGGGACACTTTTGAGACCATCTTTGAGTTTGATCTTGTTTGACCTTATTTGACCCGAAGGTCATGACCTAAGAATCTCAAAATTTGACCTAATTGAGTTCACGTGAAGGCTAATACACTCTCTGAGTTTCGTGTCTCCAGTCACTTAGGTCCTGAGATTGAAGGGGGAGTCAAAATGACCCCTCCCCCTCCCCCACCCGAACGAAGAATATCCAACCGGCCACCCGGGCGCGCTTTCAAGGTGCGATAGAAACCGAAACGCCTTCGCCAAAACCCCGAAGGCCGAAGTCCGCGGAAAATTCAACCTATTCCTGAATAAACCACCGAGACAACGAAAAACGTCTTCGAAATTTGGAGCCCCAATCGTCCGTGAAGTGACCTTGTTGCCTCATATCTTGAATATTTATGTGATGAAGCAGCACATCAGATGTCGGGATAGATTGCGGTGTTCCACGACTAGGAGGGTTGAGAATGTTGTTAATTAACGTGCAATGCCAATCAGACTTATGGTGCGTTGTATAGGGGCATGACAATGAATCATTTATCGTTTTAGTAATGATCGCCTTTCGCCCGGTTGACCTCGACAAAATGGAGTAAACTCGTATGTCGTAGTCATTAAAATATGGCCTAAAACGCCGTCGTAGTTGGAATACTTCACGAACATTTTCCCGGTCTCTCGAATGCTAAAGCAGGTCTAAAGTATTTCAGAAGATGCCCATATATTGCTTGCTGGCGAACTGCTTGTGAGATAAGCATTCAATTTCAGAGAGAGGTAGCATAATCGCATTCATGAGGTGCATATAATAGTATCTAGTCTCTAAAAATTCCAGCACGTTAGTGAATCAACTTTTGCGGCCTGCCATGAACACAGAGGACTTCTGAGCAGTTAGTAGCTGGGGAAACGTCCGAAATGGCTTATCGAGCAGCCTTGTAGACAAAAGCTTATGACGACAATGTGTTACACGCGATCGTTACACAAACTTTATCTGATGCTTCGCTGTCTGGACAGCGGGCATCATTACAAGTTTGACGCATAACAAGTAGTTTGGTGGCAACATCCATTACGATACCATTTAAGAGAAGAGGGAGCCAAATTTCCAACGCCTGTTTGCGATGTAGAACATGTGAGTGAATAACGCCTGGAAAACAAAAGTTCCCGTCATACGATGTCCACGTCATGAAAGCTTCATAACGTTTAAATTCGAAGCGTGACGCAGCCTTCGCAAAAGGCTCGAGGCCAAGGTGCTACTTGCAGACAAATTATACTTTTCGACGGTTCCAATCCAGCAACAATTCTCCGTTGAAAACACCCGCAGTGACTTCTTTACGACTGTGCTTACGCATCTTTCGTGATTTTCCGGCACAGCTAAGGCGAGAGAAGCCTTGGAAGATATCGACCATCTACCATTGAACTCATTTGGACTAATCCGCGCTACATACCTCATTCCATTATGACTCTATTATCGGGCCACATTGAGGGCATATGCCAGGTGCACCTACAAAAACACGTCAACATAAACAGCGAAAATCATCAATTCATCTAGCATCGTACAGCGTTGGAGACCACAGTCCTTACATATCTTGTAACAAGACCGCACGGAAGGCGTTTCGCATCGAATAGCATTCCAGAAAAGGACATCCCGAACGCCGCGAGGGATCGACACTCAGCAGCAACATAAGTATTCCACATCACAGCACCAGCGACACTTCATTAAAAGCACGTCGACATCACGCTACTACCGACGTGCACACCCTTCAAGTTATCCAAGTGCAGCGCCGTCGGTGCATACTCAAGAAACCAGGCATCACGACCGAACGGAATCAAAGCCCCACCATTCAAACCAGGCATCACAACCGGACGGGATCACAGCCCCACAATTCAAACGCTTGCGATCCGTGCACGCCAGCCGCATCACAGCGCCAGCGCCAGTCCACGACCGAGCACCGGCCGCCGGCGGCCGGACAGCAACGCAGGCTGGCCGCTTCCATCCCACGGTACGCAGCGGGCGGCTCACGCGCTGTCGCTGCTCTCCGAGAGGTCGGCGGTGGCTCGGGTCGGCCGCGCGCGGGGCCGAGCTGACGTCGGCCGCTGCCGCCGCCGGCCGCGCGCTCTCAGCAGCTGGACGGCGTGGCGGCGCGCCTCCGCCTGGCGACGCTCCGACATCTGCCGCTGCGGCACCTCCTCGCCGCCGGCCGGCCGACCAAACGACCAGCACTGCGGCCGGTCGGTGCTCGGAAGCGGCGCGGGCCGCAAGGCGTCCGGCGGCGGCGCGGGCCGCACGGCGTCCGGCGGCGGCGCGGGCCGGAAGGCGTCCGGCGCCGGCCTCGTCGGCTCTGGACGAGCCAGCATCTCGCCGCCGGCCCGTTCCGTCGGCTGCTGACGAGCAACCCCGGCGGCAGACGCCGGCTGGCCCGCCGCCGGCGGAAGGCCAGCTCCGGCGCCGCCGCCCGGGCCGTCAGCCTCCACGTCCGCCGCCAGCGCCTGCTCGAAGGTGCGCTGCCGATGGCCGGCCGCGTCGCGACAGGAGCGGCCGGCGGTGGGTGCGGCCGGTAGGCCCATGCGCCGGCGCAGCTGTGCCTCGCGCTCCAGGCGCAGCCGCGGGTTGTGACGCAGCAGGGCGCCCAACATGCGGGCGCGCACCTCGCGCGTGGTGGGCCGCGGCGCCGCCGGCTGCACGGCCGGCTGCTCCTGGCGAAGCTGAGCGCGCACCAGGCTGGCTCGCTCACGCATGCGGCGCACCAGCAGCACGCGCTCGCGCGCCTCCGGCTCCAGATCGGTCAGGTCCGAGTTCACGGCCGGCGCAGCCGAGCGGGCCGGCGAGGGAGTTGGCCTCGCGGACGGGCCGGCGACTGCCGCCGCAAGCGACGGCGATGGCGAGCACCCGTTGGCGTCCACGGTCGGCCTCCTGGCGCGTCGCTGGCCGCGACCGCGGCCGCCTCTGACGGGGCGCTTCTTGGCGGCACCTCGGCCGGCCGGTCGGCTGGAGCTGGAGGGACGGGCCTCGTCGGGGCAGGCCTCCTCCCGATCGACAGCCGGCGCCGGCGCGGGTTCGGCACACGGCACCCCCTCCGGTCCGTCCAGGGCGTCCAGTGACGCCAGCAGCACCTCGTCCATGCCGTCGTCCATCAGCAGCACATCGTCATCGGCCGGCTCTGGCGTGGCGCGGGCGGGCGGCGACGGCGGCGGCGACGGCGGCGGCGACACCTCGCCCTTGACCCGTCGCACGGCGCGCTGCAGACGGCGCGACGCGTCCGACGGCACCTCCCGCTGAGGCTCAGCCGAGAAGTATGCGTCCAGCCGCCGCTGGCCCTGGCGGCGCGGCGCGCAACAGCGTCAAAGTGGGAGCCAGGAGCCGGGGGCCCGAGAACCAGGAGCCGGGAGCCGGGCGCCGGGAGCCGGGCGCCGGGCGCCGGGAACCCGGCGCCGGGAGCCGGGAGCCGGGGGCCGGGAGCCGGGCGCCCGGCGCATGCCGCGCCGCCCGCTCCCAGTCACGCAGCGCGGCGCCGCCGGCCAGCACACGTCCCGCACATTACGCGGTCATTAACGATACGGCTATCTCGGCGCGCGTAGCCGCGTGCCGGTGATGGTGTTTTGCCGTGTGTGGCGATTGACCGATAACATCTTAGGTCATAAGATGGTGTAACGAGCTGTGGGGCACGACAACGATGATAGAATGCGACATTTTGAGGTTTGCATAGAAATTCCATAACGCCTCTTGATGGTTAGCTAGCATGACACAAATCCATTTTCAATTAAAAGCATTATGTATCCTTATATATATATATATATATATATATATATATATATATATATATATATATATCGCAATACCGTGGGCGGCGAGGCGGTCGGCAGGCGTCTCGGCTGCCGCAGCGGCGCGCGCCGTACCTGGCTCTGCTGGTAGCGCTGCATCATTGGCGTCAGTATGGTGTCGGTGTGGCGGCCGTCCCAGCCGAACTTGGCGGAGGCCAGGTGGCGCAGGCTGTCCAGGTCGGGAGGAGCCCAGCTGAATGGCTCGCGACTCGTGTCCACCTCCGGCTCCAGGTAGGCGGCCAGCACCGCCTCCGACGGGAAGCCTGCGAGCGTGCCGGCGGCGCTGACAATACCGCCGGAGGGGGGGGGGGGGGGGGCAGTGACACCGGCGGCACGACACTGATAACACCGCCAAGGGGCCACGGCGATGATGCCAGTGTTACTGGTGGACCACGGCAGCATGTTGAGCACTGCCCGCATTGCATTGCAAGACATGACCCATGACACATCACGTTACACGACATCTCTTGATCTTATGGCAGCCACAATGTGTGAATAACTATTACAGTTGACGCGCCATTAAAACCCAATAACTAACTGAAGCGTTACACATGTGTGACACGTCGGCCTCCCCGCCTGCGAAATTCAAAACAAAACAAACGCGTGCCACGCAATCTCCGTTTGCGTCACGACAGCGGAGCAGACGCCAGAGGGCGTCCCACCCTTCTGACCGGCGACGGACGGCTCGGGCGGCGTCACGCGCCAGACGACCTCACGACTGACCCTGCGACAGGTGCAGCGCAGCGAGACTGCGGCGGATGGGGGTGCGGGCGGCCACGTCGCCGGCGCGGCACTGCTCCCACCAGCGGCGGAAGGCGCGCAGACCGGCCAGGCCGGGGCCCGGGAACTCGGCCAGCACCTCCAGCGCGCGCACGCAGCCGACCGACTCAACACCGACTGTGTAGTCGCTGCCGGTGAGCAGCGCCACGCACACCAGCTTGTCGCGACTCATGCCTGAAACGACCCGTTATGTCATCTGACGGCGGTTGGCCCAGCGGGTGAGGCTCGCGTCCGGCCGACTGACGGGAGACGGAGGTCCGCCTGCAGACGTGAGCGGCGACCCGACCTGCCTCTCGCCGCGGCCGCCGCCAGGAGCCAATGTCGTACCGAGGGCGAAATGGAGACGTGTTAGGAATGCCGGAGAATTGTTGAGCATTGTGAAGTCGCCAAAGCCCAGCCATGCAGTATGTTCAGTTTGGAAAAAAACCGTCACTGGTCCCACTAAGGTCAGAAGACAAAAAAAAAAACACGCCATAGTGGCTGGCGAGTGGGGCCAAGGTGGCGAGCTAGGTAGCAGCGGCTAGTGTGCAGACAGGACGGCAATCCCCCATTTCTCTCTCTCCCCTCCCAAGACATTACAAAGTTGGCTCCCACGTAGCAGCTGAATGTGGCTTGTAAAATGCTCAATAGTGAATTGGGGGAGCAAAATAAATCATCGCAAGCACCTGTCTGCTCCCATACTGCTACGCCGCCGTGCGGTTCGGTCATTGTCACCACGGAAATGTACGCTTTTAAGAACACGGTCCAACGAGCGTCAACCTGAACGGCCCATACCCAGCGTTCCCCGGATGTCTTCCGCCTGGTACAACTCCACAAACTTGTTCTGGTTGAAGAAGTTCTTGTACACGCGGTTTCCACCGAACAGCCATATGTCGCTGTCATCGGTGATAGTGCCTGAAAATGCGTGAATACGTTCATTTTTCAATGTGGTACTCGTATTCCGTACAAAGTTCAAATTGTTAAGTCAAGAAATTAGTCATTTTCAGGAGCGCGAAACTATGGACATTTCAAAATGTTACGTGCGAGTTTGCAGAACAATCTAAACGCATGCGGCGTTTGACGCGATAATTTGCCACGCATGTTCGTCACACTCATGGAGTGTGAGGAACTCTCATTTTGTGGTAAGGAGTGTGAAGGCCTGGAAGCCAAGGCACTTAGGTAAATGCTCCCTACAAGTTGCATGTGCAGTGATGTAAGGCATCACCGCGACGCGCCATGGCAGGGAAGCTGTTTTGAATGTCAAGCGAAATAGCATGATTCGCGAGAGCCGCAGGCAGGTGGGTGTGCCGGCAGAAACCTCGTGGAGCTTTTGCACGGCCGCCGCGGCGAGGCAGCCGCCAGCCACAACACTCACCCTCCGTGAGGCCAGCCATCTCCAGGAAAGCACACTGCGCCTCGGCCTCCTTTGGCGACACCACATACGGTATGCCGAACAGCTGGAGCAGTGTCTAGAACGGACGGCACAAAACACGTGCTATCACTCCTTCAGGTTTGCATGTTGTGAGACGACTAACGTGCTATGGTGTCCATAGGGGCCTGAGGCACAGCGATGAGGATATTTGCACGGGCTTCGGCCGCATCTCTGTCGCCTGAATTTAGTCCTAACGCTTTGATCGGGTGGTAAGGCCTCAAGCCAAGCAGCGCTTGTGTGAAGCCTGGCCCCACCATCAGGCCGTGAAGTTCCAGCTGCACGGTAGGATTTTGTGGCTGAAGTTTCACGTCCTCACCACGGTCCACCCCGCCCTCCGATGTCACCGGAACTCCTAGCGCGGCCGCTGCTACCAGCCACCAGCCATCCCAGCCAGCAGCAACAGCAGGCACCGAAGCGACTAGAACCCACCGCCCCACCACGGCCAGGCTGGGAGGCTTTTTTCCCCCGTTGATGTTGTGGAAAGTTGTCAAGTTTCCCGCCGTTAACGGCGATCGGTGATGGTGGCGTAACCTCGACACAGGGCAACGCTGCCATTGGCTGCGTCCCCACAAACGTCAGCCGATCCCTGGCGGCGGTGTGGCGTTGTCGGGCCGGTGGTCAGGCGTCGCGCTTCGAGCGGGCGTCACGGTACGTGTGGCTTCTCGTGAATACAGTCGCTACAATCAGTTTTACCTCACGTGACAGCAGCGGGTAGTGATGATGGCGATCAGACGCGCACGCCATCGGCGGGAAATACAAGGCCAGTGCTTCAATGGCGAACCCTGTCCCCACACGCGTAAGTTCAAAGTGAAGAATCTGACATGATGTAGCTACCCTTGTCGTCACAGCTAAGCACTTAAGGATGGCGCCTGACAAAAAAATCCTTAGAGACTTCGTTCGACGACTCGGTGTTTTGTGCCGTACTGGGAGCGTATGTGAGAGAAACCAGACGTGCTCACCTGGATCTCGACGTACATCTGGTCGGTGACATTGGCGGCCAGCCGCTGCTGTCGGCCACGCTCTTCCAGCAGCTCCATCTGACTAACGGCCAGCTCCTGGGCCGCCTCGCGCAGCTCGCCGTCATCCACGTCCTCCCACAGCGCCTCCTCGCCCACCTGCTGCGTCGGCACCGCCTCCGGCGCCACTGGCCGCCGCGGTGAGACAGGCAGGCCGCGCGGCGTACCTCCGGCCGCCGGGTCGTCGGCGTCCTCCGGCCAGGCGGCCGTCTCGCCGGCGGCCGGCGACGGCGGGCGAGGCGGATATTGGGAGGCGGCGCCAGCCGGGGGAGCGGCGCTCCGGCCATACTCGGCACGCGGCCCGGCGCCGTCCCCCGCGCCGCTCGCCGCCTTCTTCGCGTCATCCTCACGCCGCTCCGGGCTCCCGTCGCCCTCCACGTCCGGCCCTTCAGCGGTCGGCACGCCTCGAGCCTCCTCTTCCGGTCGGGAGTCCCCCGAGCTGCCATTCGTCTTGACGCCCGGCTCTGTGCACCCGCCCGGTCCTGTGGCACCAGGGACACCATCACTCTCACCGTCCCGCAGGTCCGGTTCTGAGCAGGACGGCGCGTTCGGCGACCCGGGCCCAGGCGGAGGGCCGCCAGACGGCGCCGCCGTCGCCTCGGTGACCGGCTGCGGCGTGTCGGTGACCGGCCGCGGCGCGTCCGTGTCCGCAGCCGCGTCGCTGTCGTCCGAGTCACTCATAAGCTCCACGGTTTCCTGTGGCGGTGGAAGGTCGGCTTGTTCGACGGCCGCGAACACCTCACTGAACGGGTCATCGGCTCCCAGCTTCGCGAGTGGGTCTATCGAAATCGTCAGCGGCTTCGCAGCCGATCCGCGCGGGTCCGTTTGCTTCCGTTCGGCTGTCAGCGGCGCGGGCGCGCGCAGGGCGGCGCGGCGCAGCTTTTTTGGCGCTCCCGCTCCTGTCGAGTTTCTCGGACGTGAGGGCCGGTCCGGCGCGCTCCCAATCTTTGGCATGCTCTTGGTGACTCCTTCGAGCGTGGGAACTTCACTAAACGTCACTCGCTTAGCTGCACTGTTCTGCGCCGGCTCTGTTTTCTCGTCAGTTTGTGGCAATTTTCTTTTTCGAGGCGATTTTTCCGTCTTCACTTGGTCTTCAGCCGCAGTTCCATCTTGGAGCCACTGAGCGGAGAACTTCAAATACAAGTTTGAATACTTTCTACCCATTTCGGAAAACGCCTGCGCCGTGTGAGGCTGGGCGTCCGGACAGCCCGAATCCTGCGAGTCGCTGCCGGAGGCCGCTTCTGCGTGCCGGCCCGCGGAGCAGGTCGCCGCTCGGCCCCGGCCCGCCGTCGGCGCCTGCGCTGCGCCTCGCCGCCGGGAAGCGGCCAGCCGGTCCAGCTCACGGTCGACGCGCGCAGCCGAGCCGCCTCCGCTGGCGCCGGCGCCACCGAACAGATCGGCGCCGGCCAGGTACTCGGCCGTGTCCGCCGCGTCGAGCAGGCCCGTATCATCCTCCTCCTCCGACTGTGGCTCAAGCTTTGGCTTCGGCTGCGCCTGCGGCTGCGGCGTCTGCTGACTTAGCACCAGATAAGTGTCGGCGCGCGAGGCCATGCGCTGTGACGTCACCGTGCCCGGCAGGTCGATGCCCATGTGGAGCAGCTCTGTGTTCTGGAACGAGCCGGGCGTCGGAGCTGAGAAACGGCCGCGTTCGTCATAGTGACGGTTATGGCCTGGGCTGGACACCCCACTTGCCCATGGCAGCAGAGTAATGCAAGGCACACATCAGGATGTCCTGAACGAGAAAATGACAAGCGGACGCCGTCTTGTGCACAATAAGTAGACACGCCCCTTTAAATGTACATGGTACTAAATGTTCTGCATTACTACCATGAGTCAATAAACAAATTCATAGCAATACTGCTGGTACTAGATTCCCACGCGAGCGTCGCAAGGAACAAACATCACTGCTTAGTACCAAACATGTTCACGTTAGCACAGTCGGCACATTAGCACAGTGAGCGCTAGTGTCATCTCACAGGTGCCCTGCTCCTACCAGCATGCACATCGTTTGCCACATAGCATGGGACGTGACATCTAAGCATCGAGCCACACAAATTTCTACTCGGAGCATGCTCTTACTCTTTTGGTGATTTCGGCCTCCACTTCGTCCATTGAAACCTGGAACTTCTTCCGCTTTAGCAGCCGATCCATTTGGAAGTCGGAAAAGCTTCCCGAGTCCTGGAACATGAGCCGCAATGAGCCATGACGCTACATGGCCGCGCCGACCCGTTATTCGGGACAGCATTCCCGCAGCAAAGTATTGGCACACGTCTTTTCGCCGCTGGGGCCGCGACACACGCAGCTCAATCATCGTCGAGCGTCGTAAGTCACAGCAGCCAACCTCATACCAGCATGACAACACACAACTCAGAACCAACTCAAGCCAAGCAGCGAAACAAATGCGCTCAAAGTGCGCCCATTCCACAAAGGATGCTGCGCACATGTAAGGATTCACAAAATAAAGTGTTACTCGACACGCGCTGCCTAAAAGATTACACAACATGGCCACACGCCAACAGTTGCACTTTCTGTGCAGCGTGCGACGTCGCACAGAAAGCCGCAAACACTGACCTTGGGCATCTGGTCGATTTTCCCCCATGAGTTTTGCTTTCTGGTGTCCTTCAGGTCGGAGAGAATGTCGTGCTTGACCTGAGGCGCCAGGTTTCTGAACTGCTCCGAGTCAAAGTCGAAGCTGTGCATGTCTTGACCGAGGCGATCCATGATAGCATCAGTCTCGCTGTCCGAACTGGAGTCGCTCTCCTCGCCTCTGCGGGCCGACGGACATCACAGAGCCGGTCAGTGCATGCAGCGTGCTCCCACAGCGGACAGTGCGCTACAGTATACCGCTCCCAAGCCTATGCTTCGGATCCTAGCGGATAGTGCACTGCGGTACATCGCTCCCTAGCCTACGCTTCGGATCCTAGTGGATAGTGCACTGCGGTACAGTGCTCCCTAGCCTACGCTTCGGATCCTAGCGGATAGTGCACTGTGGTACATCGCTCCCTAGCCTACGCTTCGGATCCTAGCGGATAGTGCGCTGTGGTACATCGCTCCCTAGCTTACGCTTCGAACCTTTTGTGTAGCCAGATGAGCGCAACCACACCACACACCGCAACGGCTTGAACTGCAATAAGTTCTAAGATGCCAACACCCTGTACGTTATCAGCACAGGCTGGCCGCGGCAGCACTGATCCTCCCCCCCCCCCCCCCCCCTCCACTCCCAGCCGCCCGTCCGCCGTCGCCCTCCGCGCATGTGCCGCGTGTCCGGCCAGCTGGTACCCACGGCGGAGCTCCCGGCGGCGGCGCCACCTGGAAAGGGTCGGCCGGTCCGACGGTGCCCACGGAGAGCGGCAGCGGGGCCGCGTCGCCCAGCACTGCCCGCAGCGCCTCCTGGCGCAGCAGGTTCTGCACGAGCTTCTGTGAGCTGCGGTCCGCGGCGCGCGAGGCCGTCTGCTTCTTCAGACGACGCGCCGCCTGCGCCGCACAACAGGACAGGTCAGAACACCAGTACCGCCAACAGGAGCGCACGTGGGTGCCAGAGCGGCTGTGTGGGACGACGTTTTGTACATGTTCACGTGGTTGACATGACAACGACACCAGGATAAGTCATGCACGCACAAAACCAGCAAGATTCAACTCAACTCTGCTTACGCAGGCATTTAAGACATCTTCTGCGGCCGGCAGCGGCCGGAGTGACCACAGACGGGACGGCTCAAATACACAGCCTCATCTTCTGCGGCCGGCAGCGGCCGCAGTGACCACAGACGGGACGGTTCAAATACACAGCCTCACCCAAATATCACACGGAAATAGCACGCGATCCAACGGCTTGTATCCGAACACCTAGGTTTTACATACAGAAAACTGGCCCAAGATTTCCGTTCCTGGCACCTAAACATGAAAGTGGGGTCGGTGTTAGACAGATATTAACTTTCGAAATCGTTACAGCCGAGCTGGGATATAGAAGTGAAAATTTTTACTTCATGAGTAGGACTTGATCAGCCTGCACCCCCAACTGTAACAGTGGTTTACCATCCCATTCAAGCACAGCAATTAATGGGCGAAATTTGGCGCATCATTTGGCAGCTTGAAAAGGCCTGTGAGATCAAGGCCAAGGTGTTGTCAGTATCTAAAAGAATGTTAAAGAGAGTTATAACATGCCAAGCGACCTAAAGACTGAATAAGAGTAAGCTCAGTAACTAGTACTCCCAAGATGCAACATAAACTCAGCTCTCTGGGCCCAATCTATTCCCAAAAACAGCTGTTTGTAGTTTCCATACTGCATGGCTAGTTGCACATTGACAAGACTGTCACATATATTTTTTTATTCACAGCCAACACCTCTGACCAGCTTTACCTTCCTGAGCTTTACTTTCCTTGTATGGCTCTCAGGTATGGTCATCCTATGGCAAAATAAGGTCAAAATACCCATGAATAAGGAGGCAAGATCATGTAAAATACAGCATGCAGTGTAATTTGTAACCCAGCAGAGCAAGACACCTCAGAGCAGGGGCTACACATCAGTGAAATAAAGGCCGTTGGTCAGCATGGCAGGTCATACCAGTGTTTCACGCTTGAGTGCCGGGACGCCGCCGTCGAACACGAAGACCGGCTTGATCTTGTATGTGAGCAGTTTGCACACACGGTGAAACACACCCATGAGATGGGCGTTTGGCAGAGCGCCGTTCTGGCCATCCCGATAACCTTTGATAACCTGAAACATTTGGAATGGAGACCAGCCTAAAGAATGGGGATTGCTTTACTGCACCAATGGCAAAAAGACCATAGCATCACCAGGTATAAACATCACTTGTCCAGGAGAAACATCATCAGGTTTCAGCAAGCTGAACACACATGGAGGCTTCAAAAACATGCTGGACATATTTTGGGTGCAAAACTGCCTTCATATGTTTGGCTTCACATGACAAGGCTCAGTTCTCTAAGTTGCATCGAGTATCAACAACTCAACCTACGAAAAGCTAACTGGCCACCCCAACAAATCTCTCAAGAGTTTTTTTTTTCAAAACACTGGCAGAAAGTGGGACTGGGTGCTTGGGTGAGATTCACAGGTGGGGTTGGGTGCTTCAGTGATGTTAGCTCAGCATATCCTGATAAGACCATATGTGACCTGGTACATGGTAATCATCTAGCCTTTGATGCTTGCTACACTTGAGAGATGAAAGGTCACTGCAGAACATCTGAGCTGGCATGGGAGATCCCAGAGCTCTACCACCATTGCTGTGGCTATATCCCAGACTCTATACAACCTATACAACCAGTTGTCCCTGGAGAAGGCATCCCACAAGATCAGACTACAGTGCATCCCTCAAAGGTAGCTAAGTGCAAACAATTGATACAGCAGCTTCAACAGCTGCCAGTCAAAGATTATTGTATCAATATTAATGCAAAGAAGCCATTGTTCATCACTGCTGGAACATTATTAAATGTCAGGTCTAACTTTTTCAAACACAACTTGCATACTCTTCTTACCTGATTCAGCCAAATAGAAACATCTACAGCCACAACCTTGCCTTCCAGGCGTTCTAGGGGAACTGGCTTTCCACAAGGTTCAAGCAGCTTCCACAGGCCCAAAACTCCCATTCTTGCAGCTGGCAATTATCTGTTTCTTGAACCTGCAATGTAATACAATTATAGTCAGGGATCAGTGTGATAGAACAAATATAGTCAAAGCATAGGTTTCAGCCTGATATTCTAACTGATTTCAGAACCTTTCTATATGGATGACTCTGTGATCATATTTAATGTCGGTGAAAGCTTGTTTAAGAGACACTATCCCCAGTAGAGCAGTTTCTGTTCAACATTTAAGTTTAGTCAATATTCTTAATGTGCCACACTACTGCAGCATAGCTACCAGGCTCTCTGGCTGCTCATTCCACCATTGTTCTAGCTGTCAGCTGCAAAATGGGGATCAAAGACAAGCACCATCAGTAGAGTTTCTGGGGCACAACCCAACATGTCTCCTCCATGCTGGTTGATTTCAAAATATCCTTAAGCTGGGTGTAGCTATTACCAAATTGCAGTGATCAAATACTACAGTGCTGCTTGAAGGGGCTGCACAAGGCCTTAGGGAGGAGTCTAAGCCTAGGGGAGGCCTCTCACCCATGGTAATGAGTTGACCATAACTATGAACATATTAGTGACCATTCCTGTTTCCATGTATGCATGCATATAAATTCACTACCCTTGCAAGGCTTTCTCAAGTACATCCTATCCTGCTCCCAACTAAAAACCGCAATTTTCCTTGCTGCTAATCAATCTGCTGTGGGCCGTACTACAACTTAACTTAATACATCACTTGACTACACGATATACAAATAGTTCACTAACATGTGATAATGATCATTCTTAACTTTAAAATAAATGTCATGTAGCCAGCTTCTGCATGCAAGGCACAACCAGCTAACAGCACACCTTTATTCTACTTGCATGACCATTGGATGAAACTATACTGTTGGGTATTTTTCTTTAAATTGCCATAATGTCACCATAAATACTTGACATATCTGGTTTCAATGCACTGAAATAAGTGGTGGCTGTTCACAGACTCTGGGCATTCAAATCCATGGTGCATATGCACCAAGATTTGGAGCTGACTTCACCATGCTTGTTTGGCATGACTGATGCGCATATAAACACATAGTAGGCAGCATGGATGAGAGAAGCTTACAAAAAGCAAATTATAGAACCAGGATTACCCATCAGCAAACTCCATAACCAGCATGTGCCAAGTAATGACAACTTGCCCTACAACAATACCTATGTGCTTTGTGGAATGGACAGTTTTTGAAGACAGTGGCAGGACTGCTTGCTTGACAATAGTTCAGTTCCCTAGCAGAGCCATGCAGCTACTGTGAAGGCACCACCATTTCTCCAGCTGTCCAAAACGACTCACGACCAGTGGTGAATACCCAATTTACCCAGAATAAACATAGATTTGCCCATTCCACTCCATTGACATTGGTTTCATTGACCACGGATGTATCATGGTGTTCTGGATTAATCCAATTGCCACAAAACATCGCAATATTATGTTCGGAGGTACACATCAAAAGCAAATTACAACGCTCTGGCAAATCATGTTTTTGGCCATATCATTTTGGCCATTGTTGGTCAAAACACACAGTATTTCAAATACACTTCCTTCCTTCTAACAAAAATTGCAGAGCTATCGTAGCTCGTGCGCCACAGACGGCGCGTCCACTGCATTGGTTGTAAGTGGGCGTATATTTGTTTCCAAGTCGCTAGAGCTTATTTTTCTAGAGAGTTTTATCGGTATTTTATGGCATTTACTGACTTTAAAAATGTCCTTAGATTCGCGGAGACCCTAGCGGCCCCGTTCGACCTGTCGTCAGCACGATCTGGAATGCGTGATGTCACGCGTGCTGACGGTGCATTCGAAAGCTGATGAAAGCTTTTTTTATTTAACTTTCCCTGATTTCTTTATCTTTTACTCCACATCACACACTTACTTTGGCCCCGTTCGATCTGTCGTCAGAACGATTGCCAGCTGAAATGCGTGCAAGGGTGTCAATTTTTATCAATTATTGGGGGGCCGAACCGACAACCTACCTCCCCCAATATTTCACTTAAGCCTTTTCACTGAATGTCGGCCCCTTTATTTCGATTAAACGCAATATATGTTTCTAACCTTTGTAGAACTTATGAAAGTCTGCAATTTAGGCAGTATAAAAGTCATGCAGAATTGGATCCAGAGAGCAGGCTCTGGACGCACGCATCTCTTCTGATCGGCAGGTGAATGCGCCACCTCAGGGCATCGATGACGCTCTTCTACGACGGTCATGAGACATGGTGCACATTTTGGTTGTGGAGGAGGGGGATGGGGCCCACCAAGGACTTACATTATCCCCATATTCCAGAGCTTTTCACTTAAGCCTCACAAACCAACACGTGCCTTACGGCGTTAGGTGTGTGAAGTTTATTGCATTGGTTATCCGCTTACTTATTATGATTTTATCTTGTGGTAAGGACAATCATGACCTTTTGTTATGTGAGAGTGGTACGAGACACTGCTACGCAAAAAGATCAAAGAAGTCTTTGTGTTGTGTCTTTGTGTTAAGTCTTTGTGTTATGATCACCTTTTATCCACTTTTTAGCATTCCGGCCAAAAAAAAACATCGGGGAGCCAAGCCAAAAACTTGTACCTGTTCGGCCGACCATGGGCACCTTCAGAGCCCATGGTCGGTCGAACAGGTGCAAGTTTTTATGAACACAAAACGATACAAAATTGGGCGCCTTTGGACTTGCAGGCGAGTAAGAACAGTTGCAAGCGAAAGTAAAGGACCTGCAAGCAGACAAAAGCTTCAATGATTTCAAAGCTGTTTTTTGGGAATTTTGAGCTTCATTACGTTGTCCAGAGGCCCCATGCTCTTTCCGCCTTCCACGTTGCCCTCGATTTTTTGCATTTGCCTGGAGGGCCCTGGCTGTTGCTGGGCCCCCTGCTGGCGTGCTAGAGCAAGGGGCCTTGTCACGTGCCACGTGCCAGAGCAGGGGCCCCCTTGTCACGCAGGGGCCTTCCACGGATTCTTTACATTCGCCAGAAAGGCTCTGTACGCTATAGCTGGGGTCCCATATGTTAACTTGCCGGAGTATTATCGCTCAGTGGCCTTTTATATTGGCCTTGGTTAACCTACCGTCACACTCGTGGTATGCTCATGGATACTCTAAATTGGTCAGGGGCACTTCCAGTTCTTTGTGATTTGCTTAGGGCCCTACGCTCTTGCCGGGTGTCCATCTGTTAATCTGCTGAGGGCACATCGGTCGTTCGGGGCCCGCCACACTGAGTCTTGGGTTTTTTCTAATTGAAAAGAGGGCCCCGCACACTTGTCGGAGTTCCATCTGTGAGCCTGCTTGGGCACACTGAATCGTTTTGGGCCTTGCACACTGAGTATTTTAATGTAGGACCCTACGCTCCCCTCGGGGGCTATCTGATAGCCTGCTGGGGTACACTCGATCTTTTGCATGCCCTCCATGCTGGGTCTTGGGTACTTCTTATTTGAATGGGTGGGCCCTACGCTCTTGTCGGGGACATATCTGATAACCTGCTCGGGCATATCCGATCGTTCGGAGACCTTATGCATTGGGTCTTGGGTGCTTCCTATTTAAATGGAGGGCCCCACGCACTCGTCGGGGGGGCCTCTGTTCGCTTCTTCGGCGACACTGGGCTGTTTGGGACCATGCACATTAGGTTTTGGTGTTTGAAGTTAGGGCCCTGCGCTCCTATCGTGGCCATCTGATAACCTGCTCGGCTAGGCTTCATGTGTCGATAGCTCTCCGCATTGGGTTTTGGTTACCTCTTATTTGAATGAAGGGCCTTGTGCTCTTATCGGGGCTCCTTCTGATAGGCTGGTCAGACACATTGGGTCGTTATGGGACCTCTACATCGCGTAATTCCTATCTGAATGGAGGGGCCTACGCTCTTGACGGGGCCCTATCTGCTAACCTGCTCTGGCGCATTCGGTCATTCAGGGCCTTTCATATTTGAATGGAAGGCCCTGTTTTCTTGACGGGGCTCTATCTGTTAACCTGCTCGGGTACGCTCGATCCCTCCGGTGTCCTCCATGCTGTGTCTAGAGTGCCTCGTATTTGAATGGATAGCCCTGTGCTCTTGGTGAGCCCCCATCTTTTAAGCTGCTCGGGCCGGTGGCTGATACAGAGGGGGGGGGGGGAGATGAGCGGGGGAAAAGCACCGGACCATGCCGAGGAGACCCATAGACTTCGAAGGGGTCGATAACCGGCTGAACGGACGCAGTTTTCTAATAAAAGCAAAACAAAATTGCCGTCTTTAGGTCTACAGGCGACAGTATGGTTGCAAGCGAAAGCAAATAGTTTATAAGCAAGCAAAATTGATTCTTTGCTGATTGAAAATGTGGTGATTAAGGAAATATTTTGGGCTCATTACGCAGTACAAAGGCCTTACGCTGTTGCACGGGCCATGTATAGCCACTTGCCTGGTCGATCTGACTGCCATGGAGCCTTCCACGTTGCCCTTGATCTTTTCACATTTTTCTGTGGGTGATCCCAAGGCTGCCGCTGGGACACTATCTGCTTTCATTCCTGGGCACTCTTGATCGTTCAGGGGCCCTCCACCGATTCTTCCCATCCTACGAAAGGCTCTATATGCTTTTTCCGAGGCCCCATATGTCAGGGTACACCTAGCTGCTCAGGGGCAGCAGCTAGGTCACTCTTTTCACTTGCCCAGAAGACCCTGCACTTGTTGACGGAAGCCTCCTTGTTGGCCTCGCACGCCACCCACGATCGGTCAGGTTATGTTCCTATTGGCCTTGCTGCCTTAGAGCAGCAATCGGATATGCGCCGATGAATTTCTAAGCTCAATCGTCGAACGTAATGTTACGTGCCGCTGACGTCGCACGTGTCATTTTCCTTGACCGTTGAGTATGTGTGACAATGATCAAACTTGTGCATCAAGCTCTTAACATATTTTAATTGCATGACATTTTGTACTCCTTTATTTATAACAAAGAAAAGTTTGCATTAGTCATTAGTCATCGCTGTTTTCATCGCCCAGCCGCCTACCCGTAAATAAGCTAGGAATCAAGTCCGTGCTGGGCTCTGGTGGTATTTAACAGCCAACTTAAGTTTATTTGCCTGTTTTTCCGAAACGCCTAGATTAAAAATCCCAGGATTTAACGTGATATGGAGAAAATGAATGAGCTCGAAGTATGTGCATACGTAACATGCCTATCTCCATAGGGCTGTGCACAGTGAGATGGATTCCCGTATTTATCCCGTCTTTATCTTCATCCCTTTGAAGATGAAGATGGTAACCTGTGGTCACCAGTTTTAAAACGGCTGGTGAAATTGCATGCGCTCTATCTTCTGGTAAATGCTAAAAGCAGATTAGTTTAGCGATTTCCGAGTTTGGACTTGGCTGCAATGC